AAATTAACTTCAAATGTAGAAACATGCCGGCAGAATATGTTGGCTTTTGTGGATGAACTGAATGCACAGACCATGTTTTCAGGAGGACTTTCTCACTTCAACATAGATTCTAACTACTTTTTACCCGCTGATCACAGCTAATATAGCAAAGCTGCTCTCTGCATCGAACACAGGAGCAGCAGAAGCATCAGACGCTCTAATCTAATGTGGACGAGCATCAGAAATTGAAGCAGCATTTTTGCGTCCGCTGTAAACGATCGAGCCAAAGACCTCCAACACTATCCAACTATATCTGTCAGTATAAAAATCCTATCTTGTTAGTATTTGTTTATCTCCTTTATATTTTTTTTATTGTATTTAATTTTATATGTAGGTTTCGTTGCAAATGAGATCTCAATCTCATGGGATCTTTATTTAATAAACATCAATTCTATTCAGTTTATTTCTATAGCTCCATCATGTCATCTCAGGTCACTTTCCAGTTCATCAGATCATCCAGTCAGATTGATTCAAAGTTTTCTATCTAAGGAAAACCAGCTGATTGGTTTTAATATTATTTAATTAATCATATTTAGCTGAAAATCCATCATTAAAAGCTGATTCTTTGCAGGTCGTCCACAGCAATAGCTGAAGAAATGAAGCAGAGCAGTGGAACCTAAACTGTTTCAGTGGAGACGGCCGTAGGGTCGTCCTTATCAGCGCCGTTGATCTCCTGATTCTTCAGCGTTTTACAGCAACACAACAAGGCCAAAAGCTTGTCTACTACACTTTTTCTCAGCAAAACAAACATCGCCGCGTCTGCAAGAGGACTGAGAACAGCACAAATCAAAACCATCTTCTTGAAAACAGGGCTTCTTCGAGGCAACAGTAGAGAGATTATGATGGGCAGGAAAAGCACAGCATATATGAGCAGCACCATGACCAGGATCGCAATGATTCGACGTTTCTCATCAGCAGGGACGCTTCGAGCTTCCGACAACGCTTTGACCGTCCCAGCCAGGAAAAAGATGAACAGGGGAAACGGTAGGAGAAGAAACACAGCCAAGGTGGTTTTATTTGTCTGTTGATCTCCAGATGAAAAGGAGGCCAGAGTGAAAACTAGAGAGAAGATCCAGACCATCACAGACACCATCACAGAGGTCTTTATGTTCTGCCTGAATCGGTACCACAGCGGTTTGGCAACAGCCAGGTACCTAAAATACAAGACATATGTGGTCAGACAATAATGATGCTTCACTGTGAAACACACTAATACTAATAGTTACCTTTCAATGGAAACACACACCATGAATGCAACACTGGCTGTGAAGCCAAAATCGAAGACAACAGTAACTGCATGAAAATGAAGCATCAAGGGAATGGTGCTGCAGTACTGGATCAGATGAGAAATCAGGAGGTTGACGATAGACACCGGAGCAACTTGGTCGCTTTTCACCTGCAGGGAAAGCAGAATAAAAAGGTGGTGCATTCTTCCCAACATCTTAGAAAGATTAAATAACTCTTTTTCAAAAACAGAATAGAAATATTTCATTTCTTTCTCCACCCACTGAGCAAAATAGGTTGAAGAGACGACATGATTTACTTCCAAACGACGTCTACATTTGGTTGGAAAGTTAAAGGGGAAAAGCCATTTTTAGATTGTTGAAAAGTCTTTTCAGCGTCTATTATTGGACTGAAGTTGGACAAAATCAGACCGATCAAACAGCCCAGATTTAACAGCCCCCAGACTATGACAGACAGACAGACAGACGCCTAAAAGCCAACATCTGGATTACCTCTGGTGTTTGGGTTAAAGAACCAGATTTACAATCAGCCCGATGAAAAGCGAACGCTTCTATAAACACTGAGCCTGGTTCTGCTGGAGGTTTCTTCCTGTTCAAAGGGAGTTTTTCCTCTCCACTGTCGCTA